GTACAAATATAATTACTTCTAAGCCACTTGCTCAACATAAGGTTAAAAAGACAGTCAAGAGATTCTGCCCTCCATGCCTCTGCCACCTACATATGCTTCTACTCCAACAGCATTACAACATACTATAATATTCTAGTTATTGACAGACTGCTGCTTTAGGTAGCTGCAAGTAAAAAGTAGAACTAAAGACAAAGCCTCTTTTTCTGAGAAAGAAGTTCCAAAAAAAGAAACAACCAACGTTAGGAAAGTCTGTCATATGTTAACAAAGACAGTAGATAGCCAGGATTTAAATACAATGCAAAAAGATTAACATAAGGTAATAAGCTAAACTACACATTCAAATTTCGTAACCTCCCAACATGTTACATAAAAACTAAGACTGTGCACCATGCAACACTATGGCTAATACATACCTGTATATGACTGTATTGCAGTGATAGTTGCAGACTAACTTGCCCAGAAACCTTTACAACATACAGAGAATAATACATTATCATACACACAATTTCTTAAAGGAAAATACACTAGCTTCCTAGTAGAAAGGAAAACAGATTTCATAGTTAATGTCAGCAGCAATCTAGAAAGCCTTGTTTTGTCAATCGTTCCTAAGGCAAGGAAGAAGAGATAGCTCTCTCCTTTTCTAGCCTAATGAATCAACTAATAAGTCATTTTGCAAAGCTAGCCACAAACCATATTTAAGTACCCCAAGACTGTCTCATAAGCAAAAATCAAGTAACATCCCTCACTCCTGATTTGGGGCTGCAGGAAAAGGCAACCCATCCAAAGCATTAATGCATCACTGTTTGAGCAATAATTTTTGAACTATTACCTTATAAGCCTACTCCATGAAGAAGCAAATGCCTAAAATAATAGAAAAGGCTTCCTTTAACACCTTTAACTCTCTTAATCAAAATTAAGTCACCAATCCCCCAAGAACAGATCACTCTGAATCTGACTTAAGGCTAAAGTAAAGGCTTTATTCAGGAGAGGTCTGATAAGGCAGTGGATCTGATCTGACAGCCCAGGCCATTGAAGAGGGTAGCTTTGTTCCTTCCCCACCCTGCACCACCACCCCTTTCTTTGCTCTCACTGTGCCTGCTAATATCCGACCCCAAGATGAGACAGTTCAACTCACCAAATCAAGAGAAAATCTGCCCAGAAAAACAGCAAGTACTTTGCTGCTGGTTTAGCAAGCTGAACTAGCTCAACCAGAGGTTGAGCACTGCCAAAGACAGCAAGGAGATAGGAGTGCACTGCCAAGAGGATACTAATACTGCTAGACCATCATTTTCAGCTGTCACTAGATCAGTCGAGTTCATGAAAATTTACCCCTTCTATTTAACAAGAGATCACTGTACACATCTAACCTTAAAGCCAAAGTTAAGGAAGACTGAAAGGGAAAGCCCACTGACACTCAGTGCAGTTGAGAATAATTATATACTTACATAAGTAAAGCAACCACATCTCATTCCATTACAGTTTTATTTCTCCTTACTAAACTATAGGTTCATTTCTTTTTTCAGTGGATCCAAATCAGAAAGCAGCAGTTTTCTGGAAGCCTGCGTTGCCTTATTAACACAAAGAGAGCTGCATAAGTTTCATTATAAAAACAAAAATGCACTGGCTCATAATTAATGTGCTTTCTATGACATAGAAAACATGAAAACATGGTAACATGTTTCATGGTAATGGTAAAGTTTAATGGTAACATGGAAACATAAAACAGTAAAAACTCAGCTTCCTTTTTAAAGTTGTGAAGAACAAAGTTGGGAGAAAATACCTTTTTCCTTCAAAAAGTCTCTAAAGGCAGCTTGAAATGCTGCCCAAAACTCTCTCTTGTCTCTCTACCAAACTATTATCATTGTCTATTAGTACTCCAATCTCCACATCATTGTCCTGGACACTAGATGTAACTTTTCAACCAAGTTTCTTGGAAGAAGGATCAAGGTTAAAGAAACATCCCTAGAAACATTTTTTAATTTATATAGGTTAAATATCCTAAACAGAACACATAGATTAGCAGCCTACTTAAAAAGATGACTTACAAACTAGATATAGCAGATGCAACGTATTTTGGATTTAAGGGAAACTAAAAGAAGAAAGCATCATTGATTTCAAGAAATATCCTTTCAAGTGGTATCTTTGACTCAATATCACATTATTTACTCTTAAGTATCATTCATGGCTTAAGTATGACTCTTACTTGATGTGTACTGATCTGCAATGGATTACCAATGCAAGAATTATCTCAGTATCTAACAAGACAGGGTTACTTAAAATAAAGTCCTGGTGGCTCTTTCACTCATTTAGGTAAAAATATAGCATTTTCCTAGCAAGAAAAGAAGCAGACCTTAAAAAAAGACAAAATCATAGCTACCTGATATATACATATAGCAAAGCTTCACTAAATTCAACTCATATTCTAATATTACTTAGCTAAAATGAAAATTATAGTCTTAAAGTAATTAGGTAATTTTTTTAAAGGGATACTTGGATAATTATGAAATAACAGTTAAAAAAATGAAGTTATCAGCATCTGTAATATGCAGAGGATCACAAATAGTTTGGTCAACAGATAAAGTCCCTCTCCCGCCCTCCTGCTCCCAAGAACAGGAAGGCAGGCAGTTTGATAGTTTGTTCAGTTAAGGCAGAATTACATAGTGTCAGTTTAGGTAACAACAGCGCTCTCACTTTTATGATAGCCACAAGATATAACTGTTGATTCTGAAAAGCTCAAATAATCAGTTGAAAGACTGTCAGCTTGTTCTTATGTCAACTTTGTACATAGACAAAACAATGACTTCCAATTGAATAGTTTCAAAGTAAATTCCAAAGCAGCAAGTATTACAAGTTCAAGACAGACTATCTTCCCCATTCTCATGTAAAGCATTTTCCTTAAGTGTGTTTCAATCTATTTCAGCTCTTTCTCTAGATTCACTTTACTGAAGTTAATGTATTATATGTATAGAATATACAGTGTATTCTAAATTGCTAACACTGTTAAAGGTCATTGAAATGAATTCTGTTCTAACAATGCGTATGTTTTACACTACTCAGAGAAAAAAGTATTTAACACCGTAACAGGTACGTCTCAAAGCTCACAATTTAACAATCTGACAAACTAAAATTTTCTCATTACTGTGTATCACACCAGCAGCTTTTAGCATCTAAAAAAAATGTAGAGTACTCAGCTCAAAGTAATTTTTATAATTTGAAAAAGTTATTCGGTTCCCTATTTTCAATGAAGTTCCAGGCTTTACATTTTTATTTTTCAGAAGTGTGGCAAGAGATGACTAAGACAACTTGCAAGAATCACATGTGCCATTACTAAACTACATAAAGGCCTGCTCTGTAATCTATGTGAAAAAACTCTGCAGTTACTTTGTATGGAAAATCCAAACATGGTAATAATTTACAATACAGATTTTCAGAGATATTGCCACCCGCAGTACCTTGTAAATAGTAAAGACAGCAACTGCTTATAAATAGCAAATACTGTTTGATACAAAATACTCATCACATGCTTAAAGAAACTATTGTCCAAGTATTATTTAAAACATAACTAGATCATTAAAATTCATTAAAGGGTGAAACTAAAATCCATAAGCACACTTTTCCATGTAATTATACAGGACGTATCAGATCTGTTAAGTCACAGTCAACAGATAACCACACAGGCTTTATTCTCCTGTTGGTGCTTACATTTTATACAGAGGAGGAATGATATGGGCACTAGCTTAGGACATAGCAGATTCAGGTATAATTCGTTGCTCATCTACAAGCTTCCTGCACAGCCTTACATACGTCACTAGTTCTCTGTGCCTTCATCCCATGCCGAATGGTAGACTCAGAGCAGGAAGATTTCAAGGTACACACGTTGTGGCAGCTGAGTCCCAAGTATGTAAGATAATGAACACCCACTTTTTGAACCATAAAATAGAAAGCTGACAATCATTATATCTGTGTTTACATATATTAGAGGTGACACACGTTCACTTGGCATGACAAATTCTGAATGCTTCTCTAAATCCCATAAAATCAAGGACCTTAAAAAACAAGCAGAAAGGGTTTGTTCATAAATACGGTAACCCAAGAGATCAAATGCATGAATTGTTAGTCCTGCATCAAATAATGACAGGCAAAGAGTCTCCCTCAAGTGCATCAATGGTTCTTTCCTGTAAAAGCAACTTTCTCTGTGTTAATTATCTGACATTTAAACCTCAGCTCACTGCACTGCTCCCATTTAGAAACAATCCTAAAATCAGTCCACACTTCAAAGTCACGATAAAGGCCTAAAATTACAGTGAATACTGTAGCCATTCAATCAAAGCTAGAAAGATCCTGGAAGGAGGGATTTGACACCACCATAATCACGGCAGGCATTAGTGCCCAGCAAACTCAGACCTGAAGCAGCAGGTGAAGAAGGCCCAGGGTTGCCGTGCCAATGGAAAGCCAACCCTCGTTCCTGCACGCCAAGGAGGGCCCAAGCAATCGCCTCCCTCCACAGGGCCAACCCCCAGACACCTACCGTCGGCGACACCGTATTTGACGTAGCCCACTAGTACTGAGCCAGCGCCGGTCCCCTCACACAGCCCTCCAGCCCAGGCCTACGCTCCCCCTCCCCTAACCGCTACCCCACAGGCCAGTTAATCGGGAGAGCGGCTGAAGTCCCAGCCACGACCGGGCCGCAACCGAGAAGCTGCCAGACCCAATGCCGCCGGTGGGGGGCCGAAGGAGAGGCGGCCCGGCGGGGCGGCCTCTGCCCCCCGCCCGCGGCGCACCCCCCCGCGGCGGGGCTTCTGCACTCCACCGGCAGCCGGCGGACCTTCGGCGGGCGGGCGGGGGGCGCGGGGCCCCCCCCCCCCCCCCCCCCGCCCCCCGGCCGGGGCCCCGGGCCCCTGGCGGCCCC